TTGACCTGGCTGTCACGTCTTGGCGATCCTGAACCGGGCCGAGACACCATTCCTGGGATTTCAATACCGCGAACCAGCCTTGAATCTTGAATCGTTCCAAAACACAGGTTCTGTTCTGGTACGTCGGCCATGAACATGTATGAAACGCGTGCAATGTTTAAAAAGAATGTGCGCGGCGCTAAGGCGAGAGTCACATCATGAAAAAAAATCGCCTTGGATCCGTGAAGCTGTTGCGTTGTTTGAACGAATGCGCGCGGCGCTAAGGCCGCCCTCCACATGTGAATCGGTCGCGAATGTTTTAAACTTCGGGATCATGAATGGTGAGGAAGTCTCAGGCGACCCGGCCCGCATTTTCGACTGGCCTCAGGGTGCGACACGGAGGAGTTATTTATGAAAGACAAAGTATGGAGGAGGAGGAGGAGGAGGAGGAGGAGGAGGAGAGCGGATAGAGGAGAGAGGAGAGAGGAGAGAGGAGGAGGGGAGAGCAGAGAGGATAGAGGAAAGAGCAGAGAGGAGGGAGGAGAGAAGGAAGAGGAAACATGAGGAAGAGGAGGAAGAGAAGGAAGAGAAGAGAGGAGAGAGGAGGAACAGGAGGAGTAGGAGGAGGAGGAGGAGGAAGGTGAGGAGATGGAGGAGGACGAGGAGGAGGAGAAGAACGAGGAGGAGGAGGAGGAGGAGGAGGAGAGGAGGGAGGAATGAGGAGAGAGGAGAAAGGATTGAGGAAGAGGAGGAGGAGAAGAAGGAAGGAGGAGGATGTGGCGAAGAGGAAGAAGGAGGAGGAGGAGGAGGAGATGGAGAATGAGACGGATATGTAGATAGAGATGGAGGCGGAGGAGGAGAAGGTAAAGGAAGAGGGAGCCAAGAGGATGAGGGCGGAGGAGGAGGAGGACAAGGAGGAGGAGGAGGAGGAGGAGGAGAGGGGAGAGAGAAAGAGAGGGAGGAGGACGGAGGAGGAGGAGGAGGGGAAGGAGGAGGAGGAGGAGGAGGTGAGGAGCAGCACAGGAGGAGGAGGAGGAGATGGACATGGAGATGGAGATGGAGATGCACATTGAAATAAAGATGGAAATAGACACGGACATGGAGGAGAGGGAGGAGGAGGAGGAGGGAGGGAGGAGGAGGGAGGAGGAGGAGGGGGGGGGGTGAGGGGAGGGGAGGGGGAGAGAGGGAGGAGGAGGAGGAGGAGGGGATAGGAGGAGGAGGAGAGAGAGGAGAGGAGGAGGAGGAGGGGAGAGAGGAGGAGGGGAGGAGGAGGAGGAGGAGGAGGAGAGGGGGAGGAGGAGGAAGAAGAGAACCGACAGGAAAGAGGGGAGGATGAGGAGGAGGAGGAGGAGGAGAAGGAGGAGGAGCAGGAGGAGGAGAATAAGGAGAGGAGGAGAAGGAGAAGGCAGGAGGTGGAGGAGGAGGAGGAGGGGAGGAGGAAGAGAGAACCGAGAGGAAGAGGAGGGAGGATGAGGAGAAGGAGAGGAGGAGGAGGAGGAGAAGGCAGGAGGAGTAGGAGGAAGAGGAACATAGAGCCGACAAGAGGAGGAGGGAGGAGGAGCAGGAGCAGGAGCAGGAGCGGAGGAGGAGGAGGAGGAGCGAGGAGGAGGAGGAGGAGACAGGAGGAGAAGCTTAGGAGCAGGGAGGAGCAGGAGGCGGAGGAGGAGGAGAACGAGGACGAGGAGGAGGAGGAGGACGAGGAGGAGGAGGACGAGGAGGAGGAGGATGACGAGGAGGAGGAGGATGAGGCAGGAGGCAGGAAGAGGAGGAGGCAGGACGAGGAGGAGAGGAGAGAGGAGAGAGGAGAGAGGAGAGAGGAGGAGGAAATGCATGGGGCTGCGCCGCCGGGCCTCGGGGCCGCAGCGCGGCGGCCAGGTTCCTGCTGCGGGAGTGGCGCTGCGCCCTCGAGCAGGAGTGCCACGACCTCCAGGAGGGACACGGCAGCGTGGTGTCCACGGAGGACCCTCCGCCGCTGGGGAGGCCAGGGGGACAGCGGGGAAGCGTGGGGCCACGGGGAGCCAGTGGGAGGGGGGAGGGGGCGGAGGGAGGGGGATGGGGGCCAGGGTAGCGGGCGGGGGGAGGGGGCGGGGGGAGGGGGGAGGTCCCAGGATCGCGCCGCACCGCCGATGCATCGGCGACGCGGCTCGGTGTGGAGCCCGATGTTGTTCACGCCGACATCGCCGATGCATCGCCGACGTCGCGGGTACATCTCCGATACATCTCCGATGCATCGGCGATGCATCGGCGATGCGGCGCGATCCTCCGACCCCACCTGCTCGGACCCCGTTTGGGAGGCCTCTCAGTTGAGGAGGGCGAGGGAATAGGCGAGCAGGAGCGCCACGACCTCCAATGGGGCCACGGGAGCGTGGCGTCCACGGAGGAGCCCCCGCCCGCAGGGGTGGAGGGGGGTCGGGGTGGGTTAGGCTACCCACCCCGAAGGACGGCCGTCTCGCTCAGTCGGACCCGCTCCTCCTCCTCCTTTTCCTCCTCCTCCTCCTCCTCCTCCTCATCATCATCATCATCAGCATCAGCATCATCATCATCATCATCATCATCAGCATCATCATCATCATCATCATCATCATCATCATCATCATCATCATCATCATCATCATCATCATCATCATCATCATCATCATCATCTTTGTTTTCCTCCTCCTCCTCCTCCTCCTCCTTCTCCTCCTCCTCCTCCTCCTCCTCCTCCTCAGTCGGCGTTGACTCAGGCATTTTGAGTCCGACGGAGGGGGGATTTTCGGTGAAATCCACTCACACGACTTACGGATTGTGACAGCCACACAGGTTGCCCTGCCGGGGCCACGGGAGGAGAAATAACAACACAAACATAACAATATTTGCAGCCTTTTCGATACCGTACCTCCTTGAGACCTTTCCCAGAGCGGCTGGGTCGTGAACCAGCGATGGCATTTTCTTGTGCCGCATCTTGCCAAATCTTGGAATATTGGAGTGCGACCTGGAAAAAACAACAACAAACAACAAACGAAAAAAAAAAAAAAAAACGACCCGCCAAAGACGCAGAGAACGGACCCGCCGCACCCACGCGCGGAAATGCCAGCTTGCCAGGATTGCAATGTGTGACCAGACGTTTGCTCAAGCCCAGGGAACGGACATCGAGGCGAACTGCAGCAAGGCACACGAAAGAACAGGGCATACGGCAGTAGGGGAGTCTGTAGAGTTTGCTCGGCTCCCCCCTTCCCCTGCGTCCTGTGGGGCCCAGGGGGAAGAGCTGCCAGGGGAGTTTGCAGAGCGGCCTCGGTTCCCCTCAGCACCTGCGCCCACACGGGCCCAGGTGCAGCCCGTTTCAATGACTTGCACATATTCCAGATTGGAAACGCTGTCACAGGAGATCGAACATCAGTTCCGCCAGTGGAATCCGATTGGCCCTGGTTCGCATTCGTTCGTTCGCCGCCGAGCAAAACTCGAGGCAAGGCTGGACAACCGCGGCCACCTGCCCCCCCCCCCTGAAGGGGGCCGCTGCACTCGAGTGGCGCCGAATCGAAGCACTGCAGCGCCAGAAGCGCAGAGAGAGCTGCACAGACGAAAGCAAGCGACAAACAGGGAAGATGGAGGCGCCGAGGTTCGGAGGTCATTGGCTTCTGCCGATGATGGACTTTGAAAACCCATGGACTCTTGCGGTGAGACGGACGAGAAGGAGGTCTGGAAAAATTGGGGCCAACCCAATTGTCTGGAAATGTTGTCCCAGGAGATCGACTCGTTTGTTAGCACGAGAGCGAAGGAGGTCTGGGAAGATGGAGGCCCCGATGTCCCGAGGCCACCGACTGGTGCCGTTGACGAATTTTGAAAACCATGCTTTTGTAATTCCAGAAATCGAAACGCTTCTGGGATTTCTTAATTCGACAGCGACCCACGAAGGAATGACTAAGGGCTTTTTGCATACACTGCGCACGGAAAATGGAATGCCTACTGGAGGTCGTGTTGATTTGCTCGAAATCTTGCGTCACACAGGGACTGCGCGGTTGCGGAGGAGGGGCAGAGGGAGTTGGAAACTAGGGAAAAGGGACCGGCAACATCTCCCAACGGGAGCTCCGTCTGACCTCTTAGCAATTTAAGACACCGTCGTTGAAGGGTTTGTCATCGAAGAGTGGATACGGAAGCGCAACGGACGAATTTTGGACGACATGTATGACATTATGTGGAACAGTATTGGCCATCCTTTTTCTGTTGGTGAATTACGGAACCAATTTGCTTCCAGCGGCGCAGTTCGCATTTTGCCAGAGGTGGAATTCGCTCTCTCGGAATGGGTAAGCATTGGAGTTATTGCCAGCATGGGAGACAAGTGCACAACGGCCACCCTGTGAAAATCCCGCTCTTTCATAATGGGAAAGCACAGGGGTTCAATTGAGCACTTCTGGCGCGGAGGACAATCTTGAATTAGCCTCGAAGAGAGAGCCGCGCTCGGCCCCCGTCTCCGCGGGATACAGAGAGGAAGATGGCTCGCGAATTAAAGAGCTCAGGGAACCCCTTGGTTTGCTTGCGCAGGCCCGCTCGCACGGCCAGTGGCAAAGCTGTGCCGGCGGTGCCGCGCCCCTTCGTTCCATCGGGGAGCTACTGACCGGCGGCGCAGGGCCCCCCGCGAACGGGCCGCGCGCTAGCCTGCGGCGGCGGCGGGGAGAGGGGGGGGGGAGCGTAGGGCAGGCCGCGCGACCGCCCTTGCGCAGGCCCAGGCAGGGACTTCGATGCGATGTCGAAGGGATGTCGGGCCCTCGCTCCACACAGCTCGCGCAGGGGATTGTGCTAGTCGTACCCCGCAGCTTTTTTGTAAATGTCGACGTTGCCCCCTCACGCGGAGCCCTTGTCGCCCCCCCCCCCCTCCTCCTCCTCCTCCTCCTCCTCCTCCTCCTCCTCTTCCTCCCCCTCCTCCTCCTGCCTCATGGAGGAGGAGGAGGAGGCATCAGGCTGCCCAGCAGCATCATGCGCATGTTCGGCGTCTTGAGAAGCAGCTGGAGGGCGACTTGGCGAGGCCCCCCCGCCTGCAGTCCGAGGTTCAGGAGCAGAACGAGAAGGTCAAGCGCGTGCGCAGTGAGTTGCTAGAAGCTGACAGGGTGTACAAGGAGGCGGTCCAGAAGCTGGCTGCCGATTCGAAGGTCGCGCTAAACGCTGAGACGGCAAAGCTCAAGCTCGAGGACTTGCCGGCAGGCTCTGTGGACATCGGCTCCTTCATCAGCCGCGATATCCGCGAGGACTTCGGCAATGACGATGAGCTCGAGTTGTCGACTGAAGATCGCGAGGAGATGCAGAAGCGCACGGCACTTTTGTCTCAGGGCATTTCGGACATGGCCAAGACGCTGCTCCAGCAGGCAGTCGACCAGGCCAAGTCCGCCCAGGCAGCACATCAAGCGCATAAGGCTCGTGTGGCTGGCAAGCGTCGTAAGCGTGAAGATGGGCTTCATGAAGCTGGCGGGGGAGTCGGCGGTGCTGAAGCCGCTGCAGCTGCCGCGCCTGGTGGAGAGCGACCAGTCCCCGACGGCTGGGAGCAGCCAGCAGGCGCCAGTCGAGGCGCCGCCAGCAGACATTCGTGCGCGTGCAGATGCTGCTCTACAAGCCAGTGGGTCAGGTGGCGCCCCCCCTCGTCTTGAGGGGGGGAACTCTAGCATTAGCAAATCTTGCGTTTCTGGAATTCGGTCAGTTTTGGATTTTTTTGCCTCTCGAGCCTCGGCCGTAGGTTCGAAATCCAGAGTCTCTGGCATCAGGCTTTTTAAGAGGTTCCAGTTTGTCTTTCGAGCCGCCACTCCCGAAGCCAATTATTGGGTTGCGCCCTTGGCCCCAGCTGACGTCCAAGGTGCCCCAGGATTCAAGCCCGTGGAGCCCCCTAGGCCCGTTCCTCTTCCTGTTTTCTCTGGGTCCTCTGATTTCCAGCTGGAGATTACTATTGTCAACGGGAACTCCTGGGGCACGCTCTACAAGTTCCTGGAGTCTACGTCGGCCCACGCTGTCATTGGCCAAGAGCATCGCCTCAGAGCCTCGGACATTGATCAGGTGTCGGAAATCTGCAAGAAGGCTGGGTTCAAGACTGTTTGGGCGCTTGGTGTGCTCGGTGAAGGTGGAGGTGTTTCCTCGGGAGTAGTAGTGGCGGTTCGTGACGGACTTGGATGCTACGAAGCTTCTGAAGTGGTTCTTGCTGAAGGGCGAGCCGCCGCAGCTCTGATCCACGTTCCTGGATGCACTCCGCTCGCCATCGCGTCGGTCTACCTGGTCCACTCGCAAGGACTGTCGGAGGCCAACATGGACATTATCCGGGCTGTTGGTATCTTTTTAGAATCCCAGGGTTGTGATTTTGTCGCCGCTGGTGAATTCAATTTCTCTCCTGGGGTGCTGTTTGAAACCAACTTTGCGGAGCTTCTGAAAGGGGTCACTGTGTCTGCTGATGGGCACGCCCACTTCCCCTCTGGAGGGGGGGGGGCCGACACCTTTGTTGTTTTCGTTCTCTCGGAAGCCTTGGGGCGGTGCTTGCAGCAAGTCAGAGTGGTCACTGAGTCTGATATTTTCCCGCATAAGCCTGTGGCCATTAAATGTCACCCGTCCCTCGGCTCTCTGAAAGCCCCCGCTTTCCGCCGCCCTCCCGACTTGCCACCGTCGGCGCCTGCGGGGCCTCAGCCGTGCCTCGGTGATTGGTCCGCGGCTACTGCCAAGGCCGAAGCCGCTCGCAGAGCTGCTCTTTCGGGGGATCTGCAGAAAGCCAGGGACTTCCTTACGCCTGGGTCTCGTTTGTGGGCCAATGCTGCCGAGTCTGATTTGGCCAACGTTTTGGGGGTTGAGCTTCCCGCCCTCGGCATGAGAGGTAAACGCCCCAAGCTTGCGTGGAAAACGGTTCTTAAACCTTCTGGCAAAGTCAAGGACCCCAGCCTTAGGTCCATCACGTGGCTGGCTGCTCAGCTTCGAGCGCTCAGGAGCTACCTTTTGAGTGATGGCGCGGTGCTTCCACCTGCTGGTCGAGGCGTTGCACTCGACATCGTTTCAGTTCCCGTCGAGGTCGCTGTGCAGGCCGACTCCGATTGGCACCAGTTCTTTCAGGCTAGTGCTGGCTTAGCTGCCCGCTGCCTGGACCTCCCTCGTCCCCACGTTTCTTCCTCGCGCGGTATCGATTTTAGTTGGTCAGGACACCCTCCAAGCCAAGGTGGCTCTGGGGGTTTGCACTCGTGTGCGTTGCCAGGACAGTCGGGTGACGATGATGGGCTCTGCGATCCCGATCGTGGAGAGCCCTTTGACGTTGCTGGCACCCTTTGCTCGGATCTTGCAGCCTTGCTCGACTCGGTCGATCAGGCCTGTTTGAAGGCTAAGGCCGCGGCTGCTGCCAGGTCTAAGGCGCATTGGCAGGAATGGGTTCGAGAAGGATTGGATAAGGGCAGTCGCAATGCGCAGCGTGCTATTCGTGACCCCGAGCCTTGGACCCCCACGACTACGCTCACGACTGGGGGCATCATTGTTGCGGACCCCATGGCCCTCTTGAGGGCCGAGGCTGACAAGTTTGCGTTTATTTGGGGGGATGGGGACGGGAAGGGCATCGATGACTCGTTTCACGAACCCCTGCCTGTCCTTCAGCCATCAGAGTTGCGTGCCTTTTCTAAGAAGTATCGGCTGTCCAGTGCTGTGAGTGTTGATGGTTTCCACTGCCGTCATTTCTCGCTGCTCTGTGATCAGGCCCTTCACTGCCTCGCCCTCTGGTTTTGTGTCATGGAGGCTACGGGCTCCCTGCCGCTCCAGATTTCCTGGGTTCTCATGGCCCTCTTGGGCAAGCCCGCTGGGGGCTTTCGGCCTATCGGGGGTTTTCCCAGTTGGTACCGCCTCTGGGGGCGGGCTCGTCGGTCTTTCGCGCAACGCTGGGAAGGCGAAAACCCTCGGGACTTCTGGGCGGCGGGGGCCAACAGGGGCGCCTCTGACGTGGTGTGGCGTCAAGCCTGTAAGGCCGAGGCTGGGCTCAGCCGCGGCGAAGTGTCGGCTTCCATTTTCTGGGATCTTCGGAAGTACTATGAGCACATCGACCTTCGTCTGCTCTATGCCAGGTGCCGACAACACGGGTTTCCTCTCGGTATTGCTAGGCTTGCCATTCGAGCGTATGCTACCGCTAGATACCTGGCTCTTGGAGGCTATGTCGAAGGGCCTTATTTCGTCATCAGGGGCATCGTGGCGGGCTGCTCGTTCGCCACTAGCTTGATCAGGGTGTTCGCTTTGGCCAGCTTCGACTCGCTCCCTCGGCCGCCAGGCTTGGACTTCGACGCGTATGTTGATGACCTGGGTCTCAGCTGCACGGGCAGCGCCAGGCAGGTCGTTCGTGCGCTGGTGGGCGGAGCCCGAGCGCTCCACAAGTGCATCACTGATGAGTTGCAGTGCCTTCTCGCCATGGACAAAGTTGGGATGGTTGCTAGCAACAATGATGTCGCCTCTCAGCTCCTCCAGAAACTTGGGCCCCTGGCTGGCCAAGGGGTGGGTATTGGAAGAGTAACGAACTTGGGGGTTGACTACACGGCGGGCCGACCCCTGCGAGCTCCTGGCCGCGGCCGCGCGGCCAAGTTTAAAGCTCGTCTTGCGACAGCGCTTCGCAAGACCAGGAGGCTCAAAAAGCTCGGGGACGTCCTCGGGAGGCGCAGCTTGAAGGTTTTTGCTGCGGGACCTCTGGCCGGTGGGACCTACGGGTCCGACATCTTCGGGGTGTCCGATGCCGAGCTCCTGACTTTGCGTCGCGCTGCTATGTCTTGTGTTAAGCCACGCTCGCAAGGGCGATCCCTTGCCGTGCTCAGCCTGCTTGAGGGAGACCCGTGCTGGCGAGCGAGTGTGGCGCCGATTATCAGATGGTCGAAAGAAACCTGGCTGTGCCACACTCGTGCTTTCCCGTGGAGTTTGTCTTGGGCGGAACTGCGCGAGGGCTGGATGCAGACCTTCAGCCACGACAACCACTCGTGGTCTAAGGTTCGTGGGCCGCTCTCGGCCCTCCGCATGTGTATCTACCGTCTGGGGTGGGCCATGCCTGATTTTACCACTCTCAGGGACGACTTTGGGAGAGATATTTCGCTGACGCTTTCCCCCCCCGCTTAATCAAGGTCCTGTGTCGTGATGCGGTGCTCAGAAACCTTGGAGCGGGATTCTGGAGATAAGTACGGGGTGGGGTACAGGTTTTGTTGGGATGTGGTCAAGCAGCAGCTCTCGTCGTCCAAGATCCCCGCCAAGGCCAAGGGTATCATGAGAGCTCAAGCTTGTCGGGCGTTCTGGACAGGAGCCGATGCTGAGGCGGTTGGCCTTTCCGAGGTGTCGAGTCTCTGCCCGTTATGTGGTGTCGCGAAGGACACCTTGCACCATCGGCTGTTTTGCTGCTCGGCGTGTGACGAGCAGCGCAAGGAAGTGCTACCCGCTTGGCTAGTGGAAGCTGCCTGTGATACGTCTAACCCTGATTATGAGGAAGAGCTCTTTATGTATGGGGCGTTCCGTCACCCAGGAGATGTTGCCCCAAGACCCCTGTGTGATGGTGGTGTCTCTCTTGTGTGGCATGTTGAGGACCTCCCTCCTCCTCCTCCTCCTCCTCCTCCTCCTCCTCCTCCTCCTGCTTGTGGTGCTGACAGGGTGGCTCCTGGGGATAGCATGTGGGGATATTTGTTTATGGACGGCTCTTGCCACAGGCATGTGGTGAAAGAACTGTCGCGTGCGGGCTGGGCTGTGACCATGGTGGGGAAAGATGGCGAGCTCCTAGGTTTCCTGAAGGGGCCTGTGTGGGCCCCTTGGCCTCAGACTCCCCAGGCCGCCGAGTATGCTGCGTTCGCGTTCTGTGGAGCCTATGCCGATGCCCAGTCCGTGTGCTACAGTGACTGTCAAAATGTTGTGGACCACGTGGCGCTCGGTGCTGATGCGCTCTGTGGCAAGAGGCAGTACACAGGTCTTGTGCTGCAAGGCAAGCACCAATTTGGAAGGAACCTGTGCGCCCTCCACAAAGTTTCGGCCCACAAGGATGTCGATGAAAGCGGCATTTCGGCCAGTGAACGTTTCAGAAGACTAGGCAACCACTTTGCTGACCAGGCTGCCAAAGAGGCGGCACGATTGCACCCCTCCTTGACTCCTGTTGAGGCTGATGAGCTCGATAGGAAGATCAAGATAGCGCGTCTGGTCTTAAAAGCTGGGTCTGTTCTGCTGCCTTTGTGGCCGCGTCTTGAGTTTCGAGGCACCGCCAGGTCCAGGCCCCCTCCCGCTCCTCGTCACCCTCCTCTTGATGTTGGGCACTCGTGGGCGCAGGTTGGGTCCTTCTGGCAGTGCCGAGTTTGCCTTAAGGGCTCTCGGGCGCGGGCCCCTCCTCCTGGGGACTGTCCAGGACACTCCAGGCTGGACCAAGGCGTGCTGCTGAGGTTGGGGCATAAGGTCGTTGCCTTCCCCTGCTCAGATCGCTCGAATTTGTTTGTTTGCTTGTCATGCAAATTTTACAGTAGTGGCTCGCAAATTCTAAAGCTCGGCAAAGAGTGTGGCCAGCCCACCGTCACGTCAATGCGCAACTTGCGCAAGCTCAAAAAGGGCTTGCA